AAAGTACTAACATAAAGAATACAAGGAAGGTGGGAAAAAATTGCACTTATTGCAATTCGCAAGTGCTACTTTTATTTCATAATTCAAATTTACAAATTGAAAGGTTTACATTTTTAACAACAAGTAAATTCACCAAGGGTTTTAAATATATACCTCTAAAATGCAATATTTTACCTATATACATAGTGTAACTTTCGACGAACCACCCTCAGGACTGTATAGCTTCGCCCATGCCCTTGTTTACATAGTTGACTGATCACATAATTGAATTGACAATATGAATAGATAAACAAAACACATAATACAAATAGGTAAAAAAAATACCTTGGAAATCAACCAGGCTTTTTCCATGCGTTCAACAAAGTTAGATGAACTATCAACTGCTGATGCTCTTACCACAAAAATTCTGGGTATTTGCTTTAATCTAGGGTTTCCAGGGAAAATCAATTGTAATCCTCTTGGTGTTGCAAATCGATTAATAACATTTGATTTTGCAGTAATTATGGATCTAAAGAACATGTACAAATACTGCTACTTGCCATTTTTTCCCTTCTTTTTTTCCTGTTCAATTTCTTGCCCACAGAATTCGAAAATTAAAAAAAAACAAAAAAAAAGTAGCCGTTTAAACCGGGCCGGTCCGGGCCGGTTAACCCGGTAAGAGTTACTGTTCACTCTTCCGGTTCAACCGGGCCGGTTACCCGTTTCAAAGAACTAAACCGGACCAACCCCCCTAACCCCCTACCCAGCCCAGCCCAGCCCCCTCTTACCGGTTCGGGCCGGTTCCGGGTTCTATCGGTCTGGGCCGGTCCGAAACCGGGTCAACCCGGTCCGTTTAACACCCTTACACACAATTGTCTCAAGAAGGAAGTCTACAGTTCTATTCAGGTTCGTATCAAGGAAAACAGGTAACTTCTACCCTAAACATGCTACACAGAATTCAAGTAAGCAGTTAAAGCAGATGAGACAGTTAAGTCACGTAAGCATGCTTTCCTAAGCTAAACAGGAGGCTTCATATACTAGCATTTGCTCAATTAAAAGAAAAACATAGTTATTTACTTAATGAAAATGGGGTTTTTCAACAATTAGCACATGTAGGCACTCGTCACCTCACGTACACGGCATTCATATAACAATAGTACCAAAATCCTAAGGAGAGTTCCCCCGCACAAGGTTAGGCAAGCCACTTACCTCGAACCAGCTCAAAATCAATCCGATCACACGCTCTTGCCACGAGTATCCAACTCCGAGTGGCCCAAATCTAATCAAATCAATTACATAACGTAAATAAAACTACAAGAAACTAATTTAACTCACGAGGTCACTCGTCCAAAAATTTAGAACACCCATTCACTCACGAGGTCACTCGTCCAAAAATTACTCAATTCCAACAACTAAAACCCGATCAAAACCCAAAAATTCGGTTGGGGAACTTTCCCCTCAATTCCCCATTCTTCCACTCAAATTCTTTGATTAGATGTGTAAAACAATAATAGATTAATGAAATATAAATGAAATAGGGTTAGGAATCGTTACCCATTGATTTCCTCCTCAAAAACCTCACAAAATCGTCTTCTCCCGAGCTCAAAATCGAATTTGATATTATGAACTTCAAACCCTCAAAATTTCATATTTCTGCCCAGCGATTACCGCATCTGCGGTCAAGGGGCCGCATCTGTGGTCCCGCACCTGTGGGAAAAGCATCGTAGGTGCGAAATCCACTTATCCGGGCTGGGGCCGCATCTGCGGTTCCGCATGGTTTCCCAGCCGCATCCGCGGTCCCTGGAGCACTAGGCCAAAATTCGCTTCTGCGGCGCCGCACCTGCGGTCCCACATACGCCGGTGCGATTATAGTAGGTTCAGCAATATCAGAAAATGCCTAAGTCCAAATTCCAATCCGTTAAGTATCTGAAACTCACCCGAGGCCCCCGGGACCTCAACCAAACACACCAACCAGTCCTAAAACATCATATGAGCTCCGTCGAACCCTGAAATCACATAAAACAACGCTAAAACCACGAATCACCCTCCAATCCAAACCTAACGAACTTGAATTTCCGAAATTCTACAACCGATGTCGAAATCAACCAAACCATGTCCGATTGACCCCAAATTTTGCACACAAGTCATATTCAACACTACGGACCTATTCCAACTTCTGAAATCAGATTCCGACCTCGATATTAAAATTTCACTATCGGCCCGAAAACTCCAAAAATTCAACTTTCGGCATTTCAAGCCTAATTAAACTACGAACCTCCAAAACACAATCCAGACACGCCCCAAAGCCGAAATCATCCAACGGAGCTAACGGAATCGACGGAATTCCGTTTCGGAGCCGTCTTCACACTGTTTCGACTACGATCCAAATTCTAAGGCTTGGACTCTCATTTGGGGACTAAGTGTCCCAAAACACTCTGAAACTCAAGATGAACCATCCCGGCAAGTCACAATAGCAGAAATAGACACGGGGAAAGCAGTTAATAGGGGATCGGGGCGTAAATTCTCAAAATGACTGGTCGGATCGTTACACATTAGCGGATCCATCATATTAACAACATATCCCACCATTTATGATTATATTCTTCTTGCATAACCACAATCTAAACAATAATTTTTGATTTGATAAATAAAAAAGAAAAAGGACATAAAAAAGAAAATTTGAAAAGAATTTTGTGAGATGGGGGTGGTCACGTTTTGGGAAGAAGGTACGTAATTGGAAGAAGATAAGGGAAAGAAAAAGAAAGAAAAAAAAGAATAGAATAATAAAATAAAAATAAGGGAAAGAATAAGAAAAGATAAAAAAAATTCTAATGAAATGTACGTGGCGCGTGGTTTCAACGATCAACATATGATGTGGTTGTGGCCTTTCAAGGGTGCAACAATTCTGTTTTAAAATAGTTTGGGGGGGGGGGAGGGGGTAGGGCGGGTAATAGAACCCCGATAAGGAAAGTGTGTAGTGAGATTTGAGTCATAGGTTTGGGGGGAGGGGTATACTTATGCATTTTCCCATTTTTCACCTTCTTCTTAATTATTTTTACCTTTTTTCTTTTGTTCTGTATATGGGTTCCCTCTGAAAAAAAAATTTTCTCTCTTTTTTCCTCGAAAATAATTTATTCTCTTTCTTGTTTTAGTCTTCTTTCATATTAAATACATATTGTTGAAAGAACATGCTTCTAAAAATTCTTATTAAATCCAACACTTTATAGATGATAAAATGGAATCTCTTGAACTTTGTTTGTATAATCTAGAATTAGAGAGTGTAGTTGATGGCCGACTGGTTTTTATGTACGAAATTTTATTTTGTGTAATCTTGCTTATGTAGTATAAGATATTTTTTAATAAATGTAACACTATATGCCTTCATTTATTTTTTTTACTATGCCGCAAAGTGAATATAAATAAGGAATTATTCAACTGGAGTCTAGCATAAAGCACAAGCACAAATAAAACTAAAATTAACACATTATATTAAATACTATTTTAGCTAAAACTCCTAGAATTAATCAGCCATCTGAGAGTAATACACCATGAATAAATTACATTTTTCTTAGTACAAATCACAAGTTAATATAGTTAGACGCAACTCTAAGAATACAATATGGAGTTTTAATATATAGGTCAATATAGTTCAGGGGATTTTGGAGATATCAGATAGTTTAAGTAAGTAAGTGACAAAAAAATTATAGTTTGGGGGGGGGGGAGGGGGGTTAGACTAAGTTAAATAGCCACGTGTAGTGCCACATGACACATTTTTTTAGATGATTAGGAGCGTGTATTAAACGTATCTCAAAGAATGCAACGAAAGGATTTTATTACGAAGGCAATATAGTTCATGGGGGATTTTGGGGACATCGAATAATTTAAGTAGTAAACTGACAAAAATATATTTAGGACCCGTTTGGCCATAGATTTTGCCAAGATATATTTGAGTTTTTTTTTTGGCAAATACATGTTTGGCCATAGATTTTATTTACATTTTGAAAAATTCCCAAAACCCAAAACCCAAATCCCAAAACCAGCTCAAGAGTTGGTTTTGGCCCAAAATATCACTATTACATTTTTAAAAAATTGCCACAAACTTTTGTATTTTATATAAGAGCCCACCATTTATTATGTTGTAACAATACTATTTTGTTTTCTTGGTCATCTGATAGTGTATTATGTAGTTCATTATAAAAATAATAATTTTGTATCAAATTTATTTATGTTCAGGACTATGGTTTGCGATAATATAATGAATGTTATTGATAAAGATATTGTTGGGTATTTGTGATAGTTTTTAGAACTTGTGGGTATAAGTCATGTTTCATGTTTTAAAAAAAAAGTGAAATATGTTTTGAAAATTTATGTCCAAACACATTTTTCATCTTCAAAAGATTTTTCAAAACAAATTTGGAAATATATAGCCAAACGCTAACTTAGGGTCTGTTTGGAAAGCCACAAGGTAATTGAAATTGGTGTAATTACTAAGGTGATAATTACACAGCCTAGTAATTACACAATTATGTAATTACGACGACCTGTTTGTTTGTCATAGTCTAATTATAGTGTAACTGCAAGTTTGTTAATAACTCATTATTTCTAATATTAGGAGGTGTAATTTCAAAAAATAGAATAATAAAATAAATAAAATATAAAATATGAGCAATTACATGAAATGAGACTAAGTAAAGGTAAAGAAATAAAAGATAACTAATGTACAAAGAAAAATATGTTTTAAAATTTTTAAAAAATAAAAAGTAAAAATAAAATTACAAAATAAAAAATAGAAATAAAAGTTATACAGAAAATAAATTAAAATAAAAACAAAAAGTAAAGAAATTAAAAAGTAACCTTTTAATTACACGGTATAATTATCACCAATTCTCATTCCTTTAGAATTGAAAATCTAATTAAAGTTCTCCAATTACACCCAATTACATAAAAAAAAAAGTAATTATTTGGCCAAACAAACGTATTAAAAGTAGGTAGGGGTACTTTATGGTATTAACTCCGCAGCCAAAAGGAAACCCTATCCATCTTCTCGTTTCTACCACAAATCGTCGCCCTCTCCTCATCCACTCCCCCACCCCCCCAACCCCCCTTCTTTACTCCTTCACCGGCCCGTCTTTCTCTCCGAATTCTTCATGTTGTTTGTTTCTATCTCGTTTTAGTGTTTGACTGGAGATCAAATTTCAGCTTTGTGAGATTTGTTGCAACTTTCTATACGTTGACCGTTTGGATTGTCATCGAATTTGAAGATCCGGCTATCAGGTGTGTTTATGCAATAATTGTTGGTTGATTGATGGCTATAATAGCAATAATTTGGTTTTATATTCTGAAGCTATAACAGTTATTTTTCGGATCTACGGCTGTTTCCCTAAGCTGAAAACCTCTTTAATTTTTTTAATATTGGTTTGCGTACACCCCACCCTTCCCTGACACCCACTTGTGTGATCACACTAGGTATGTTGTTGTTGTTGTTACTAGCTCTGCGCTTATATGTGGAGAACTTGAGGAGTAGACGTGTACAGATGAATTCATTGCCGTTGGAAGCAAACTATATTGACTGAAATTTCAGGTTCTCTTTAGTTAGTAATTAGCTGGAGCTCAGTTAATTGGAAAATATCTGAGGGTCTTAAGTGTTAATGGGGAGAGTATTTGTTGTGATGTAGATCGTCTGAGCTAAACTCTTGGAACATGGTTTGATTTTAGGTTAGTGGGTGCACAATTGCACCCACTTTTCGGAATATGACAAAGCATAAAGATATATTATTAAAAATACTCCAGTTCTATTAGAAGTTTTCTTAATTCTTGTTAGAGACCTGTATGTTTTATTTTGCTTATTAGCAACAGAAAAAAGAAGAGAGAAGAGATTTGTATGTTCGTGTAGAAATAAATGTGTGATCTAGAGTTCATCTAGTTTTAGAGGACATCTAAGTACTTAAAAGATAAACTATTTTGTATTGGGATGATACAGGCCTAAATAGAGTGGTGGGATAACAAAGGAGTCATATACCCCTTACTCACTCGGGGTAGGGGTAAGGTCTGCGTATACACTACCCTCCCCGGACCCGCTAGTAGGATTTTACTGGGCCGTTGTTGTTGTTGTTGGTAACCGTTGGCCACGACCAATCCAGTGGCCAGTGGGTGCATATATATCCCACCTAAGTATGAGGTAATTCTGTCCACGAAAGTTTTTACTTGATCTACTTGTGGACATGCTTTTCTTGAATTCCGCCTTCAAAACGTTAAAGATTTTTTTTTTATGTATTTCAAGTTAGAAATGTTAGGTACCGAAGCAATAAGCGTAGATTTTCCCATCTCATTGAAATATGGATCCTTAATTTTCCTCCCATGAATGGCTTATGAGCAAGTCATTAAGAAAAATATATTTACTTAGAAGGATAATTTCTCAATCTTGAGATTGCCGCATTTAGATTTTAGATGAATCTGGTCTAAATACAGCATTTGGGCCTGTCTTGCGATGTAACTTTCATCTGTTTTACCATTTTGTGCACTTGCAAGTTAGTTGACCAGGCTGAGTTGTTACTCATCTTGTATTTTTAATAATGATTGCTGAATTCTTTGAACAATTGGTAAAAGTGGATGTATGATCTGTTTCGGTTATAAAACTAAGTTCGTGTTTCTTTTTTCCTTTCTTCTGCTCAAAATTATAATGCAAATTTATAATTTTGTTTTATTACCTTAGTTCGTGTTTTTTTTGTTTTATTACCTGATAAATGATAAATGCACAATTATGCTTGAGCTAGGGATATTAATTCCACTTAACCTCTAAACAGCCATGAATGAACTGTATGTGTACATATTTCTTTCTCTCAAAAGTACCACATAAGTGCCTGGGGGCTACATTGCAGCTCTACATCGTCTTCTTCTCTCCTGAATACTCAACTATGCATTACATACTTCATTATTTCCGACATTGCCTATTCTTAGATGATGCAAATGTACAGTAGGCTGATGGAATAATGGCTGATTTGGTAAAAACTTTAAGGTAAAGTCAATTCCAAGCGTTTAGGGCAGCCTTATCATAAGAGAACTTTGCGTGATGTTGTGCACCCACTTGGAGGGCAACTTTCTTATTCTTAAGGTTCTGTTTTACAAGCAATAAGGATATTGTTGACTTGATCGAGTATAAGTTTCTTGGTTGTGGGGAAGGGTTTCAGAGGACATTGGTTAGTGAAAGTACTATATATTACTATATTGGTGGAGACTCGAGTGTAGCTTATAATGGCAGGTCGGATGTGGAGATGCGACACTATAATCTGGACCAGTCCTTTGTGGTGGTAGATGAAATTGCTCAGCCACTGACATCTATGCGATATCTGTTATATGCAATAGTTTCAAAGGGCTTTGCTTATGATAGTTATAAGTCCGCAGGAAAAATAGATTAAGCAGAATTTGAAGAGGAAGAGCTCCTAACTAAAAGTCTAAAAGAACATGAGTACCAATTTCAATCATCCTTTATGTTTGGGCCATCTCGTTGGACCTTTCTTTTTAAAATTTTCAATATTTCGTGCTATAAGCCCATCTAAACCTCTTTCCACATGACCAGTTCAAATTATTGGTTTCTTTAACTTTTTACTGGGCATTGTTCGTGGCTTATGTTTGCCACTGAGCATAATGTCAGGACATGATTCAAAATGCACAGTCCACTCTAAACACCCTTTTAATTCTTGTTCCCTATCATTCACACATAGAAGTAATACGCCAAGCACTTTCATTTCAGTTACCTAGCTTGCCATTTTAGCTGTTATGATTTAGGACAGGTGGTATGACGCAGTAAAACTCAAAGCTCTATCAAATTAATCATTGGCCCTTCTAGATTAGAGAAGTGGGAAATCGACTCTGTGCCCCTATTTCGCAGATCCTTTCTATTTAAGGATGTCCCAAAATGTTTGTAAATAAGACCTTCTGCAAATAATGATATTCTTTGTTAAAGTAAAAAGAAGCTTCTCCTTGACTTAATTAACTATGTACAGGAGGTGTCCTTACATAGGATTAGGCACCCAGAATGGTGGCTAATCAATCTCTATGCTAAAAGGTAAGTAAATTTTCTATAATTTCTTATACAACATATCCTAAGGTATCCTATATGACATTTCTATTAGAGTTTTCTTGTCCAGATACAATAATCTAGACATGTATGAATATTTGAATAGGCCCCATTAAAATCAAAAGTGGGGAAATCATCTTGAATTTGCTTATTTTGAGAACATGGAGAGTTGATATAGCAATCTCGCTGGATAGTGCAAAATCACCAAATAGAAAAGCAGTGCTGGATTTTCTTTTCTCCAGAAAGTTGCTGGTAATGGCAATCGAAAGAAATTTTTCTTGCACCGTACGAGGAGAAGTATCTATTCTAATCACTGCAAAGAAATATAGTGTTGCAAATCGTCAGGAGGTTATTTTGAATTGGTAGAACGATGATAGTAAATTCAAAGTTTAGAGTATGATCCTGACTGTGTATAAAGTCGCACGCCGGTAGCAAGATAGATAGTGGCACTAGAACCTTCACCGGAAAGATGAATGGTGCTTCAAAGATCCCAGAGAGTAGTGGCGTGGAAACGGTTGTAGGAAAGAAGCAATGCATGAATGGTCGTTATAGAGAAGAGTGATGCCAGAATCATCGTCTTCAGAGCAGTAGTATCGGTTTTCGGAGATATGACCGACATCGCCATCGAAAGGAAGAAGAAAAACATAAATATTGGCTAGGGCGGCCTCACATGTTGGCCTGCACTGCCCATTGGTAGCGGAAGCTATTTGAATTTCTACCAAGATCATAGAGGCTCCAATACCATGTGAATAGAGAAAACTTATCACTTGATTGAAAAAATGTGCAAGAGGTGCCCAAATATATTAATATGGTAGGTAAATATATTCTATAGTTAAAAACAGAATATCCGATGGTATCTTAGAGGAATGTTCTATAAGATTTTTCTTATCCAAGTTCCTTCGGGGATATCTGATAAAACTAAAACGATATAGAAATGATTAGCATAGCCCTTGCGCAGGATGACACGCACAATTGAGAAATTGTCCAAATTTTTACTTGGACAAAAAAGATTTTTCTTATTCAAGTACAATGAATCTAGACATGTATAATACACACTGATGTGCTTGATATTTCAACATTACAGCAGGCTGTTGTTTCCTTGTATTGTCTATGCTTTAGATGTCTAGGCATGAGCGTGCGGGGCGTGTAGGAGTCCCAGATTAGTGGAGAGAATGGGTTGTTTCCTTGTAAGGGGTTGGCCATCCTCATCTCATGCACTAGCTTTTAAGGTCGAGTAAGGCCCTCAGTCCACTTAACATTCTACATATTTTTTCTCAGGATTCAAATTTTACAACTTCAATATGGTGTTTTTCTTTATTAAATACAACTTCAAGCATGAACTCCAGCAACTCTTTTAATTTTTTCGTAAGCATTTTATATATAAGTCAAAGCAGCTACTTAATTTTTTGTATTTGTCACTTAAAATTGGATGGAGAAAAGGATATAATTGATTATGAAGTACTGAAGCATTGATGCAAGGTAGATGTTATGTGGGAAAATAATGCATGTTTGCTCAACCTTGCGAAACAAACTAGCAGCAGGTAAAGGTATAAAATGAAGCAATCAAAATATTCCTTGTCTTATTAGTTAACTTTTAATGATCCTGTCTCCTTTCAGGTTCTTTAAGGATCATAAACTTTCTTTCAGCTGTAGCTAATTAGGAACTTGTGTTTCATTATGAGTTGAAGTTAGGTAGTTCCGAGGAGTAAACATATTTTATTTGCGGGCAGAACCATACACTGCCATGTTTGGTTGTTAGGCACTGATGGATTCCCCCCCCTCTTTTTATTATCTCCTAATATTTGTGCCCATATGTGTGCAATGCATACTAACGTTGCATTCTTTTCATCTAGATTTTACAGCAAGAAAGTTCTAGCAGGAATTTGAGAAAGTAGGAAATGGAGCTGAATACCATTAAAGATGCTTTTGATCGTGTTACAAAGAAGCAGAAGGTTGCATCATCAAAATCTCAAGAAGTGATGGAGCAGATCGGTCATGAAATAGAACAAGCACTGTTGAGAATACAATCAACAAATGATGCTGCATCTTTGAGCGAGTACAAAATGATTCTTAGTGAACTAAAAGCTAAGTTGAAAGAAGTTGCTCCACTCAGTCAGTTGGAAGGAACACAAAAAGAGCTAAATGTTGCACTAAGCAAGTACCCTAAGCTCCTTGAGAAGTCTTTCAACCCTGACATATCAAAGGCCTACAGGAATGTTGGTTCTGATATCCATACTGTTAACCAGATAATTGCCAGCCATTTCTACCGGGAAGGCCACTTTGATCTTGGTGATTGTTTCATAACTGAGGCCAGAGAACCTGAAGCTGCAGGCCAAAAATCTCCTTTTCTGGAAATGTATCAAATACTTGAAGCCATGAGGTCTAGAAACCTGCAGCCAGCTCTGGGTTGGGCCACCACCAACAGTGAGAAACTTAAGCAAAGTGGGTCTGATATTGAAATGAAGCTACATAGGCAGCAGTTTGTGGAAATTCTGCAGAAAAGAGGTAGAGACGGAGCTTTAAATTATGCGAGAACTTTCTTCCCACCTTTTGCCACCAAATATATGGCAGAGATCCAGAGACTCATGGCCTGTCTATTATGGGCTGGAAAACTAGATTCGTCACCTTACGCAGATTTGCTATCGCCTTTCCACTGGGATAAATTGGCTGAAGAGCTTGCTCGGCAGTTCTGCAATCTCATGGGTCAATCCTATGACAGTCCATTGAGTGTGACCATTGCAGCTGGTGTCCAGGGGTTGCCAACCCTTCTGAAACTAATGAATGTGATGACTGGGAAAAAGCAGGAATGGCAGTCCATGAAACAGTTGCCTGTGCCTGTAGACTTGGACAGAGAGTTTCAGTTCCACTCCATCTTTGTCTGTCCGGTGAGTCGGGACCAGGCAACTGAGGAGAATCCGCCTATGCTGCTTTCTTGCGGGCATGTGCTATGCAAGCAATCTATTACAAAACTGTCGAAGAACAACAACACGCGGCCTTTCAAGTGTCCTTACTGCCCCACGGAGGTTGAGGTCGGTCAGTGTAGACAATTGTACTTCTAATATGAATTGTTCTCAGTGTTTGTATCTAAATCTTTTTGCTACCGTGCTTTATCCCTATGCTCTGTGAACTCAATTCATTTTCGTTCATGCCATGGTTGATGGTACCTCTAACTATAAGTGTTAATGGTGCTTAAAGCTGTTCTTTTCTATGCACTCTGATAAATTGATGTAAATAGGACTTCTTTACCATTTCATGCAAATTACTTGAAATGCTTGTACAATCAGATGTTGGCCTTTTAAGTCTCTCCCTTCATATACCGTCGGGTGCAAAGGGTTTTTGGAGGAAATAAGGTATATTCATCCGAGAAGAGATGAATTCTGTTTCCTTTGTTGGGTGTGGGTGGGTGGGGGTAGGAGGATGAATTCTATCTCTACTTCGGCACTTAGTTCTGTTATCGTAGGCAAGTTTACATGGTGGAAAGCAAATGCGATATTGACTTTGAAGGAATGCCTATGAAATGGGTCCAAACATAGTTGAATAGAACAAAGTTGATCGATTAAGTGACTGTATTGTAAGATAATGGTTTTTTCAATAAACTTTCTATGTGAACACATGACTATTCATGGACGTGTTTTAATTGGGATATCTTTTTGATGATGTCTATTTCTAGGTTATAATATGCATAGTAAAACCCAATAGTCGAATAACCCCACTTATCTGTGTTTTCTATAAGGAGATGATTCACGAATAATCAAGCACTTGTGAAGACATGATCTTTCACAGTCACAAGTATATGGAATTTTTATCGGGGCACGTCTAGTTAATGGTATCTATTTGGTGATCTATGACTTGCGAGATAAATTGCCAAAAGTTTTAGATTTTGAAAAATTAGAGTTAAGGAACCCTAAGATATTTGTTAATCGATCTCCTTATATTTTATTAGCTGAGAGTAATTTACAGGCCTATGCGACAAAATGCAAAGAAACTTATTCCGAGCCATTTAAAAGAAATTCAATTGGTCATGCCTGAAGTTTAAATGGTAGAATATTACAGCTCTCTGATCTATTCCCCATCTTAAATTAAATTAAATTGCGCCATATCGTCTTCGTGTTGGTGCTTTTATTTTGGGAAGCAGAAAGGAAGTAATCTTTGGATTCCAGATACAGTGTTAAATTGGCAAAAACGTGACAGCCCCACAAATAGAGAACAAGATACGAGTATGAAGACATAAAGTAGAGCATCAATGAAGCATAGTTTATTTTAGGTATAGCCCTATCCCGTTGGCTACTTTATCGTATTTTGTTATGGCATACAAAGAAGTAAAGTACCTAAGGTGTCTTTTTTGATTCCAGTGGAATTGTTTGGTAAGAAATTGCCTTAAAGGGAGCAGATAAAATGTACCAACTCCTACAACCCCTTTTGATATTATTTATAGTACTACTTACCTCTCAAAAAGCTCTAACAAAGGTACGCAATTTCAGGAGAAGAGCACCAAAAAAGTGAAAAGAATACTATACTAAGCTTAGTTCCTTTTATCCACTTTATAATAATTTTACATTCTTCTCAAACCTTTTCTCATTTCTTCCTTCCATTTGCAAAAAGTTTTCACTCTTTTTTCCTTAGTTTTCACAAACGTATAGCTAAAGTCACGCTAACGTGTTAAAGTACATAATAGACCACTTTTTCTTTCTAATTTTCTTGGGATTTTCAAAGAAAGAAGATTTGACTATCTGGAAACTAAATGGAGCTGATGATTATGTGTGGTCCACGACTCTAAGCATGTGATTAAGCCTCCCCACAATTAGCCTTTTACTATTGGGATTAGAGAGTGGATATTAAAATAATTCTCCCTTTTGTTGTGTCATTTTCTTTCAATTGATAATGACTCTAAAATAGTGATGTCTATCATGTCCTGTGTTTTCACATTTATCAGCAGTGCTGAGTAGCTTTGTCTCGTTACATATCTTGACTAATAAAATTCGGCAATGGCCATTAGTTATGCCATTTATATAGTAATAAAGATGTGAAAATAATTTGCCCTTGGTATTATTCTCTAGGAGGAAATATATTTATTTGCCCATTAAATTAGCCAGCTGGAGTTTTGTGCAAGGAAGTGACCCCATGATCAGTAGAGAATCGTTCTGATTTAGGTATTCTCTGGAGTTATGTGATGAGCAATCAGGCTCTATACAGTGCGCTCAATCAATATATATTGTCCTTGATCAAACTAAAGTACAACACCACTTGTTTGCTTTGATCATTTCAGATACTACAAATTAAATGAACCTCATGCCAATATATATAACACCCACCTCTCTAGTCTAGTCTCTATTCTTGACCAATACATCATTTATTTTGTTTGATTCAAACCAAAAAAAAAAAAGATTCCTTACATTAAGGACCCGTTTGTCCATAAAAAATTTTTCTTTTTTTTTTTGTTTTTAATATATATATCCATGAATTTTTTTTTTCTTCATTCATAAAATTGTAATATTTTTTCAAGTGATATGCATGTTCAAATATAATTTTAAGCTTTAAATACTATTTCAACTTAACTCTAAATTTTTCTGTCCAAATGCCTACTAAATCATTTCAAGAATTATTGAAACCGCTGCCTTTAGCAAATTAAATCATTTCATGCAAAATAGAATTGTACAAAGAGATCTCTTCACTTTGAAGTAGCGGTCTCGGACTAAGAATGAAAAAATTCTATTTTCCTTTTTATGGGGTCTATGTAGTGCGAATATCGACAATTGGACCAATTAATTCTAGATATGAAATGGGTATAAAAAAAAGTGTATAAAGACTGGGCTTTTCAGTTATTTAATGTCATAAACGATAAACAAACATATCCCGCTATTCTGCAATTGCTATTCCTTTGCATTTCCAAAACCAATAAACTTTAAGAGAAGAAAACAAAAATATAAAGGGACAATCACTGACACCAAATTGAAGAAAGATTATTCTGTTCATCTCCATTTAAACGTAACATAATTAAAATCTCTACATAAGAAAAGTTAAAAGAAAGGATTATAAAATTTTTGGGAGATAATAAAAGACAAAAGCACATAGCTCCTCTAACCCCACCCCCTCTTAACACCGCCTTAATCAATCAATCACCCAATGGTGGGGTACCCACTTACTCTTTCACTATCTGTTGTTTTCCTCTGCAGAAAGCGCCGAGCCGTCGGGTACCCTTTGTCGTTTTTTTAGTTTTATTTTTTTCTTCATATGGATAGGCCCTATACTTTTAACCTATTTCTATAATTTTAATTTAAATAAAAAAAACTAAAATCTTGCATCTTCGAAGCCGTGTAAATCACTCACTCTATTCAACGATTTTCTCATGATAGCCACTTTAGCTAGCCTTTCAGCTGCTCTCCAAGCCGATGTTGGTGTAAGCGGCTCGGCTTTGTCATCCTCCCTTTGTTGTACGTTTATTCTTCGCCGATGCTGAGATTGACTCTGAGTTTGAGACTGATTTTGCCTTTTGTAATAAAGCTCAGATAGCTCGGCTTCTAAACCACGTATAAACTCACTAGCTGAGCTAGAATGCGACTGAACCAGCAAAGCTCGAGCGGAGGACAACATGTGGTGCGCCCCGGTCAAGTCATTTCGCTCAACCATTCGCCTTGACTCAGCCATGGCTCGAGTAGAAACGAAAAGATCTCTCAGCCGTTGGATATTAGGTGTTGATGATCGAACGGCGTGTGGACGCGGGACCAAAAGAGCTTGCTCTTTGCAATAGATGAGCTCTTTAGTTGACGGGTCTTTGTAAGAGCATCGAACGGACAATACATGGTGGGTCCCAATTGCTGACGTGGGAACTTTTAGTTCCACCAGCAATTCTCTTTCTTCCTCCGCGTAGAAATCGCCGAGTCGAAGTGAACCGGAACCTAGAGCAGCGGGCCGGTTTGTGTACGAGTAAACTGCCGCTACTTCAGCCGGCGCTGAACCGGACACGAACCCTAGCTGAACTCGGAGATCCTGAACGACGACGTTTAATAAGCCTCCGATGAATTTCGTGAAAATGTCGTCGTTGGATTGGTTCAGTCCGATGGAATGTACCGGAATCTCCAAGTTGTTAAAGCGCGTGCAGGTGGATACGACGGAAGATTGACACCGTTGATTGGTGGAGATGGTGGTGGTGGTGGAGCGTTCATTTGGAGTGTCTGATAAGAGCATGATGCTTGCAACGGCGTTTCGCTCTCTGCGATCTTCTAGAACTTTCGCAGCCTTCTTGAGCGCGTCACTTGCACTGGTTCCGGTTCCGTCTAACGAAACAATGGCGTCCACTATACGACGCGCCGATCGTTTGCCATTAGCTGTCATTCTCCGTAACGGTAACAGCCGTTTGGAAGTTGTGGAGAAGGCCACAATGGAAAGCCGATCGGAAGAGGATAGCGATGATACTACTAACCTCATGGCACGTTTCATCATTTGGATATTCTGAGGTTTCATTTTTCCGCTAACATCAAGCACCATAACAAGATCAATAGGTGCTCTTCGAGCTGCCCTTGCCAACACCGGTGGTGCTTTAAGTTTCAATATTATCACATACGTTTCGTAACTCCGGCCAACCGATACAACGGCTGCTTCAGGCAATAATCTTGCCTCGAAGTTAGTGAAATTTACAGTCCTCTCCTTCGCCAGCTTCACATTTGCATCGACGAAAAATCCTTGAAATTCTTCCACTACATTATCATTCTCTTCATCAGATTCCGGTATGGGATTGAACCGAGCACCAGAAGTAGGAGACATCAGTGGCTCATCATCATTGTACACCTTCAAAATCGGCCTTCCCAGCTGAAAGTTGTTTTCGTTTGTGAATTTGACATCTATTTTTGCTGCTTTGGGAGATGGAGATACTTCTCTAATGGTCTTCTCTTCAACTTTGACTGGCTTTTGAGTATCGTGTATTGATAATAGAGGCAGCTCCTTCCATTCACTGCTGCAAACAGGACACACCAGGGCGGTTTGTTTCCTTAACAGAGCTGCGATACATGGGAAGTGAAAACTGTGAGAGCACTCAGCCGTGAAAATGGCAGTGCCTTGCCCAGTCTTCACCGTCTGTATACATATGCCGCACTTTGTCTGCTATACAGGAAAAAGAGAAAGTTAGGAAAACGAACTTATTGCACACATAATTGGATTCTACTGTACAGAAATGTGTATGATATAATAGAACATAAATGAACAGAATAGTGAACAGTATTATACAGTTATTGATACCTTAGGAAAGCGTAAGCTGGATTTGAGAAAAGAAAAAGTGGATGGCGAACGAGGGGAAGATGGTGTAGAACGACTGAAAAACCGGGGGCTGTTTTTGGTTTTGCATTGAAGTTTTGGACTTCCTGGCACTGAAGCTGTCGCCACCGGAAGAGTTGCAGTAGGTGGCGGAGTTGTAGTGGTCGTCCGGCAACGGAGTAATGAACTGGAAACTGGCGGAGACTGTAAGCGCGGCGTTGAAGGGTTCGAGAAAAACCCAAATTTGGAACTGAGCCTGGGACTAGGAGTTGGGTTTGTGTTGTCTTGCTTCTCTTTGAACAAAGTACTATCTCGATCTCTGGGGATCGATGTACAAAAAGCTCTTCGCCATCCCAAAACCATTGTGAGTACTCTGATTCTTGTCTTCTTTTTTTTTGCTGCTTTTTGTTGTAGTGATGATGATGGGTAATGGAGAAAAAAGAGGGTTCTATAGAATGGGATTTAGTATGGACTAATCAAACGGAGGAAAAAACATAGTAAAGGAAGAAGATAAAGAAGAAGACAAAAACAAACAAACTTATGTTTCCTCTCTTTCTTTCTTTCAATATCAATATAAATCCTTTCTCCTTCCTTTTTTCCTCTGGCTGCGATGTTGCTTTCTCTTTCCTTTTCTCAATCAGTAGGCACAAAAAGATCACTGCAAAGTGCAAATACTCCAAAAAATACTTTAATGTAAAAACTGAAATCCCAGTGAGTCTCTTTTATTGGATTGCAGTGGCTTTTTCCGAGGTGGGAAAAATCTTAAAATATTGGGGGGACCAAGTTTTCAACTTTTTAACCGAGTGGGATTAGGGGATTACCGGCAAATGGAGGTTTTGCCTGAATTGGGATTTTGGAAGGTCAACGGAATGGCTTTTACACTTATCTGCACTCTATTTCTATTTTCACGATTAAATAGGAACCATCTCTGCCATGAAATTACTCAACTTACCTCTTTTTAATTTCATTCCACTGTTAGCTTTCTTTTTTCTACCTTTTTCCCTACCAAGTTTTCACCTTTACATCTTTTTTACTCTTACCCACGTGACTCCCTTGAGTACTCTTACAACTTCTTTTTTAATCTTAGATAGTGGTAATTATGATTTGCGGCCTCGGCCTCCTATCTTTTTCTTGTATAATTCTTAGTAAAACTAGCATACTCTCATAGATTAGTGCTTCCTCCGGTCCAGAATAAGTGATTAATTTGCTTTGGGGTACCCATTAAAAAAATACTAAATTCTAGACGAGTGTGACTAAACTACTCTTTATTAAGTATTGCACCATAGTTATAGTAGTACTTACTTCTCTTCTCAAATGTGAGGAGTAAATGACTTTTTAGGGATATATACATAAAAGTGATTTCGGAAAATAAATTAATTTTTTTCTTGATTAAATAATTGAACACTTATTTTGAATTAAAAAAATAATAAATTAATCACTTATTGTGTACTGAAGAGAGTACAATTCTTAGGTTAGTAAGCTATTGAATATTAAATACTCCATTCGTCTTAAAGAATGATAATTGGATGTGATGGTCAAAATATTTGTATTTTTAAATCATAAAAAGTAATACTAGTATATATAAGAATTTTCATAGTAAAGCAAAAATATTTCAAACCATAATCAAATAATAAAATAAGTGACTTCTTTTAATAGGAGTAATGATATTCTTGTCGAGTTGAAATGAATAACAACTTGGATGGAGTGATTATATATACTCTCTTTTATCAAATTTGTGTAGAGGAATCGATTTAGCTCCCGTTTGGTCATAAAATGTAGAATTTTTTTTCTAATTTTCTTTTTAAATATTTGTTTGTTTATAAACTTGAACCATTTTCTGAAAGATTTTAAAAATAAAATGTTCAAATTCCAAAAACAATTCTAGAGTAATTTTTCAAATTTTTAAAGTTTTCTACTCATAATACTTTAAATTTTTTATTTTCAAAAACTATTTTTCATTTACAACAACAACAAAAAATCCAGTGAAATCCCATAAGTGGAGTCTAGGTGCAGCAACTCGAATTCAAGGATCAGAAAGAGAGAAATTTAGAGAGAGAATTTTGAGAAGAAAAGCAACTCTGTTCTTCGATACAACACAGAGAAGAAGAAGACTCAACAGTGAAAAGGGAAATCACTGTTTTATAACTCCTCTAACTAACTAGTGGTCCCTAGCTATACAACAAATTACAACTAACCATAGTCATTAATTTAACTAACTAATGGTTACCTACTAACTACACCTATATCCTTTACACCCCTCCTCAAGCTAGGACTGGGATAATTGTTCAAAAGTCCTAGCTTGGACATCAAATATGTATGTTGTGGTCGACTAAGGCCTTTGGTGAGGAGATCAACTGCTTGTTCTTGTGTAGCACAATAGTGAGTAGAGATGAGGCCTTGTTGAATCTTTTCACGGATGAAGTGGCAATCAATATCGATATGCTTCGTACGCTCATGGAAAACTGGATTGGCAGCAATTGCAAGAGCTGATTTACTATCATAATAAACTGGTACAAGAGACTGGTGCTCGACTCCCAGTTCTTTGAATAAGCCAAGTACCCATACAATTTCAGCAACAGTAGAAACAAGGCTGCTATATTCAGCCTCAGCTGAACTCCTAGATATGGCAGTCTGTTTCTTTGACTTCCAAGAAATAAGGGAATTACTCAGTTTGACAAAATAGCCAGTAACTGATTTGCGTGTATTGGGGCATGCAGCCCAATCAGCATCATAGTATGCTGATAATGACTCTGAACAATTGGCACCCAGAAAAACTCCCAGTCCTGGACTGGTTTTAATGTACCTTACCACTTTAAGTGTTGCTTCCATATGGGATGCTTTAGGACTGTGCATGAATTGACTGAGACTTTGGACAGCAAAGGAAATGTCAGGCCTCGTGTGGTCAAATAAAGCAGCTTACCTAACAACCTTTGATAAGGTCCAGGATCAGTTAATAGTACATCATCAGATGATCCTATATGGTTGTCAAATTCGGAAGTGGTAAGTTTCAGATTAGGTTCAGTAGGGCATCCCACAGGTTTTGCACCTGAGAGTCCTAACTCAGAAATAAGCTCCAGTGCATATTTACGTTGATGCATCAATATTCCATCACCATTTCTGGCAAATTCTAGGCCTAGGAAATATTTAAGCTCTCCTAGGTCCTTGATCTTGAATGAAGATTGTAGTTCATCCTTAGTTTGTTGAAGCAATGCAGGATCATCCCCAGTAATAAGTAGGTCATCAACATAGACCAAAACAATAACTATGTGAGTTGTTGTCTTTCTGATGAAAATAGAGTAATCCAGGTGACTTTGTTAATAACGAGCATCCCTTAGGGCTGAAGTTAACTTGATATTTCATTGCCTAGATGCTTGCTTGAGTCCATAGAGGGACTTAGTCAATTTACAAACTGTAGATTTGTCAGTTGAACCATGGAAACCTTGAGGAATAGTCATATATACTTCTTCAGTAAGATCTCCTTGCAAGAAGGCATTATAGACATCCATTTGATGGATGAACTAGTGCCTTGATGCTGCAAGAGCCAACAGACTCCTAACGGTGACCATTTTCACTACAAGTGAAAATGTTTCTTGATAATCCAGTCCTTCATAGTTGCTTTTCTTCTCAAAATTCTCTCTCTAAATTTCTCTCTTTTTGATCCTTGAATTCAAGTTGCATGCCATTGATAAATTTATCATGGTATCAGAGTAGTATGAACGAGTGTCTAGGGAATTTTTCGAGCAATTGAAGAGAAATTCGAGAGGATCTGCTCAAATTCAGAAGCTTTAAACCCTAATTTTACATATTTCAATGGAAATTCCTGAAGATTCAACGATTAATGCGAATACTGGAGCTCAATCTGGAACTGGAGTGGTCGGAAGCTCAATTATACTAGATCATAATCATCCTCTCTATCTACATACTTCAGACGGTCCTGGACCCATGTCGGTGGGATTAATTTTGATAGGGATGGAAAATTATTCTCTTTGGAGTCGTGTGATGAAAGTCGCGTTGCTAGGAAGAACAAATTGTGCCTAGTTGACGGATCGACATCGAAGGAAGATTTTGGTGCAGAATTGGGAAGTCAGTGGAATCGATGCAACGCCATCATCACCTCATGGCTTATGAGCAATGTAAGTAAAGAACTAGTCACAGGAGTGTTGTTTTCTTCTAATGCACAGAGGATATGGGCAGCCTTCAAGGAGAGATTTGACAAAGTGAATGGATCGAGATTGTACTACTTGCACAAGGAGATATTCACTCTAACACGGGGAATTTTATCTGTTTTGACACATTTTACTAAATTGAAAGACCTTTGGGCAGAATATGATTCAATACTGCCGCCTCCTTTATCTGCTACTGAATACATTGAGCAATTGGAATTCCAGCGTCTGCTGCAATTTTTAATGGGATTAAATGATGGATTTAGAGCAAGCAAGGAGCCAAATCTTACTGATGCCAACACTGTCGTCTATAGACAAAACCTATGCTATGGTAGTACATGATGAAAGCAGGAAGATGATTGCTGGTAATGTCTATGGACAAGCAGGGCACACTGATCCTACAACTCTTTTCACTGCTCGACCAAGAAGAAATTACAACTTAGAATGTGAATTTTGTCATTTGAAAGGTCATACTAAGATTGAATGTTATAAGCTAATGAAGTGTGAGTTTTGTAATAAGACAGGACATCACAAGGAGAATGTTTACAAAATTGTTGGATATTCAACTGATAGCAGAAGAAGAAAGCCAATGCAGTGATGGTTGACACAACTGGACAACAGGACTTGAGAAGTCCACAAGCTACTATCAACCAGGGAGCAGTGTTGAGACTGGTCAATTTTTCACCAAGGAGCAATACAATCAACTGTTACAATTGCTGAAAAAGAATTCCATTGGAGAAGCGAGTGCCAACATGGCAGGTAAATGTTTCTGTGGTAATATAACACTCTGTGAAAACTTAGAGCTTTGCAAATGGATAGTTGATACTGGTGCTACTAATTACATGACTGGTAATAAAAGTTTGCTAAAAAATGAAACTTCAGTAGGGTACTCAGGGCAAGTTCAACTACTTACAGGAGATTCAGCCACTATTTCTCATATGGGAGAGTGTCAACTCACAGGAGGTGATGTATTGAAGGATGTGTTATGTGTACCATCTTTCAAATTCAATCTTATGTCAGTCTCGAAAGTAACAGAAGATCTGAAGTGTAGTGTTACCTTTTTTCCTCAATGTTGTGTGTTTCAGGACCTCTTGTCTAGGAGGGTGAATGAGATTGGTAAAAGAGAGGAAGATCTATACATTCTGTTAGCTGTACTAGGGAAGAAAGTGAATAAAGCTTTTGCGGTAACTAATAAGGGAAGCATGGATATATGGCACAAAAGAACAGGACATGTACCAGTTCAAGTTCTCAGAAGAATTCCCAGTCTACAAGAGTATAGTAGTAACATACACAGTAGTACATTGTCTAAATGTGAGATTTGTCCCTTAGCTAGACAAACTAGAGTGCCATTTCCAACCAATACTAGCAGAAGTATATGCAGTTTTGATTTGATTCATATGGATGTATGGGGACCTTATAAAGTTACTACTCATAATGGAACGAGATACTTTCTTACGTTAGTTGATGACTATACTAGGTGGACTTGGGTGTTTCTCATGAGGCTTAAATCTGATGTTATTTTTTTGCTCAAGAATTTAATTGCTATGATTAAGACACAGTTTGGCAAGCAGATCAAAGTTTTTAGGTCAGACAATGGTGGTGAATTCTTCAATAGTGCTTGTAAAGATTTGTTGTTTCAGTCACATGGAGTTATTCATCAAAGTTCTTGTCCATATACTCCTCAGCAGAATGGAGTTGTGGAAAGGAGACATAGGCACATACTTGAAACTGCTCGAGCAATTATATTTCAAGGACATTTACCTGTTAGATATTGGGGACACTGTATTGACTTTGCTGTCTATATTATCAACAGAATTCCTTCATCTATTCTGGGATATAAATCACCCTATGAACTGCTTTTTTGTAAGCCACCTTTACTAACACATCTGAAAGTTATTGTTTGCCTGTGCTTTGCTACTAACCTAATAAACAGTTTCAAGTTTGCACCTAGAGCTGTGAGGTCAGTTTTATTGGGCTATGCTGCACATCAAAAGGGGTACAAATTGCTGGATTTGGAGAATAGAGTATTTTTTATCAGTCGAGATGTGGTATTCTATGAAGATATGTTCCCTTTTCATGCAGCTGAAAGCACATCAAATTCATTCTTTTTAAATATGTGTCCAGTGCCTAGGCAGGATTTCAGTGAAGAACCAATGGCTGTGGTCAGTTCTGCTACTAATGGTTCTCATACTAGTGTTCCATGCTCATCAACCACGATTCCTGTTCCTTTAACTGAACATGACACTCTCTCTAGTATTGTTCATAGCAATGCTGAAGTTCAAACTACTCCTCCTGAAGCTCCAATTGTTTCTTCTGATGTTTCTATTGGTGTGGGAACAAGAAAATCATCTAGAGTATCTAAGCCTTCTATATGGCTTAAGGACTATGTTAGACCTGACAAGCTAGGTTCTTTGAGTTGTTGCGAATATCCTATCTCAGAAGTTATTGGATATGAGGTGATCTCTTCAAAGTATCAAAGTTACTTGGCTAGCTTCTCTGTTGAGGTGGAACCTACAACATATTCAAAGGCAATCAAGGATAAAAGGTGGGTAGAAGCAATGCAAGCAGAAATTAAAGCCTTAGAGGATAATAAAACTTGGGAGTTGGTTCATTTGCCACAAGGACAGAAGGCTATAGGGTGCAAATGGGTCTATAAGATCAAATCTAAGGCAACAGGAGAGGTAGAAAGATTCAAGGCTCGCCTAGTAGCTAAAGGGTATAATCAAAGGGAAATCACCGCTTTATAACTCCTCTAACTAACTAGTGGTCCCTAGCTATACAACTAATTACAACTAACCATAGTCATTAATTTAACTAACTAATGGTTACCTGCTAACTACACCTATATCCTTTACACTAGGGAGGGTAGTGTGGACGCAGACCTTATCCTACCTTATGAAAGTAGAGATGCTGTTTTCGAAAGACCCTCGGCGAAAAAAAATAAAAAAAATTATCTCATATTTCAAAATTCATATTTTCAAGTTTCAACTAAATCTATCTCCAAACACTAACTTAGTGCCGCTCTGCTGTTTGTATTAGCTTTTAAACTACACAGACGAAACAACATCTCCATTTCGATTGCAGTAAACAAATGTATCTCCTAATTTTTTATGTTCGCGCTGGCCTTGATGGAAATGTTTGTACTGGTAATCTTTTTATCTAGAGTACTGCTTGTGTAGTGCCTTGTTAGAGATCGATATGATATTTTAACTCAATGAAGACGAAGTATCACTTCATTCCCTACTATTTCTAGAAAATATGTATGTACTTAATATTAATGAATATATTTAATAAGTTTTCAGCTATTTAAGTACTAGTATATAATTCAGACAGAAAGCAACGGATGCACATTGAACCACGACCATCCGTAATTATTATCTATAGACCATGTAAATTGATAGTCTACTTTAGAGGTAAGCGGACTAATGGCCATAATGGGCAATAATAATTTACAGTACTTAGTAAAGACGAATTAATTAAATATCATACGCCCCTAGTGTAATTATTCATCCATAGTTGCTTGAGGCTCAATAGTAATTGTTTGATCAAAGAATATCAAAACCTTTTTGGTTAAATTAATTCGTGATAATCATGAGGTCAATTTTAGTTAAGCACAATAAAATCTAGATCTAGCGATAGGAGAAGCAAGTAAGATAAATGATGTGATTAGTATGCTGGAATGGAATAAATGCTCATAAATGTGAAGACGTAAATGCACAATCAATCTGCATAGATACAATCGGCGTAGGGAAGGAATAAATATCAGATGATTGGGGAATCCTTGGATCTCTTCTATCTGATGTAATGATATATACTTTCTTCTTCTTGCAATCAATGAACCAGACTACTTATGTATTCACTCTCAGATAATTCTTTTACAAATTTTCTTTTGTCTTTTTTTATCTCTCCCCCCTTTCTCTACTGACTCTTCCTATTTATAAGGGACAATCCCCCATAAAATCCTAAAAAAGTACAACATGAAGAATATTCGAACAGTATATCCTTGCTGTTCCCTACTAAGCTTACACCATCGTAGACGACGTGCATCAACTGACCGCCCTTGGTCGCTGCCTTTAACCACGACGACCATCAGATGCTACACCACGATAGCCTCGTTCCTCGTCGTACTCGGTAGTGGTCGTGGTTGCCGAATTTGGACCTATACAGTTAGTCCCTCCGCTTGTCGAGGTTGCGACCCTGTGCGTCCTTGATAAGCGGACATCGCCTATACCCGTGGAGAAATTTGGCTATTGAATTATGCAGTTTGACCAATAACGAAAGAGTGGTGAACTCTACAGTATCCTGGATGGTGTAGCCTGTCGGGAAGTGATGCCACTCCCACGTGCGTCATCATTACGCGTCTTCCCGAGACAGAGACTGACTGCTTTTCGCTTTGGTTTTGGTGCCATTGGCAGTCTTCCGCTTCGATTCTGGCGCCACCCAATAAATAGGTCAAGGTTTTGTTTTTTCAAGAACTTTTAGCCATTTCCTCTCTCGTGTATGTATTGCTTTCCTTGGTTATCTCTTCTTGTGTAGCTGTGAGGCGTACACCCGTCCTATCGTCGGTATAGAGGACTGGGTAACTCGTTTACTACCCACGCGGTGGAGAGTCGAGATTGGCCCACTTTCGTGAAACGCTTTGGGCCGAAGGTTCCATCCGGTAAATGTTTTCCTTTGTTTTGACCTTTGGTTGTTTGTCGTCGTTTATTGATACGACTCCTTGTGCTGACAGGTCGTAGGGCTTCCAGGAAGAGGGCCCCAGTCCCTGCATTTCGCCAGGCCATCGCGTCGGCAGGGATGCAATTTACCTTGGCTGTGTCCGCCCGAGGGGGCCGTGCTCAACCTGTACAGGCTAGAGATTCTTCTCGTGCCATGATTGTATGAGATGAGATCTCCTCTCGACCAATCTATCACCTCGTGGATGATCCCTCTAATGGGGACGAATCTCCTTCGAGGAAAAGGAGGAGGGTAGAACTCAGAAAGGTCGTTGCCACTGATGCTGGAGAGAACAGAATTGGTGCGTCGGAGACGGCACCTGTGCCTGTTTTTATAACGGACGCTATTTTGGCAGGAAGGTCCCCCCGAACTGAAGGAATATACCAAGGAGGGGGGTCGGGGCGCTTTGTCGAGGGTGGCGTATCATCTGCCGTTGGGGGAGGCGTACACGCCGAGGGCGACGGTTCGGGTTCGGACGTCGACCCAGGAGATGTACGAGAGTTCTTGGAACTTCATACTCGTGTAGGAGTGAGGACGGAGGGTTCTGATCGACACATTGTCGTCCCTGGAGATTATGACTTGTTGTCGAACAGCGAGCAGGTAGTGTCGGTGTTTGCCCCTTTATG